ATGCCCCTGCAGGAATCCACGCGGGCCGCGTGGAAATCTTACGCGGGTCGCGTGAGGTGTGACGAATTTTGGGCTTCTTCAAGTCTTGGGCCCCCACAGCTATTCCATTGGCCCAGTTCGAGTCTAATCAGCCTTTAGCCCATTTTTCTTCAAGATTTCTTCAATTTGAGCCCAATTTGCCTTTCCCAAATCACTCATAGCTTCCACAAACTCCCGACTATCAATCTCCGCACACTCAAAAGTTCTCCCGCGTCTTGCAAATTTAAAGTTCAAATCTTCCAAGCCTTCAAACGATTGACAAGACCACTCCATGAATCGCCTCCATAGCCATCAAGCTCAAAATCCTCATTGCTCTTCAAGTCCAATCGCTTCCCAAGAATCCCGCTCCGCTAGTCTCCAAAAAATCTGCAATAATGCTCAAGAAACTAGAAGGTACCCGAAATGGTGATAAAATAACAAAAAGGAAAATATGCATGGAAATTAACTAAAATGCGAATGAAATGTGCTAAAATAAACTATAAAAAGAAGTAAATAAAATGAAGCTATCAGGTGCCCGATGAATGTTTATATGCTTTCCGGATTTCGGTCCGATGTCGGGCAGGGCCCAATGAATGTTTATATGCTTATGCTATGTGATTATTATATGTGTATTGTTGATATGTTTTTATGCATGCCGAGCTCAGCTCGATGTCGGGCGGGGCTTGTTGCCGGACATTACCGGGCGGGGGCACGGGGCCCGAAGAAGGGGTAGGGCCCACGATATGTCTATATGTGATTATGTGATTTTGTGTATGGTATGTGGTAGCTTGGGGAAGCTTACTAAGCTTTGTGCTTACGGTTTTCAGTTTTGGTTTCATGTACTTCTGGTAGCAAAGGGAAGAGCTCGGGATGACTGCATTGCACACACCATGATGTTTAGCCTGAGATGTTTACTCTGATGTTTTGATTTGGAAACTCTGATAATAATGTTTTGAGATACTTTGACTCATGTTTTGATAGAATGTTTTTATAACTAAGGTTTTATTTAATAAGCAAAATGAAATTTTTGGGACCATATTTTATGAGTGTTACAATTATTTAAGGATATATATAACTACTTTTAGGCGTTTAATGACAATAATGCTAATTATTTTGCACAACGGGGACCTTTGGTGATCTCACACCTTATGTTGAGACGATGCTTGGTAGGAGGAAGCTCAAGTCTCAACCTTGGCAGGCAAGACACGTCTCTAGCTTTATCTTTAAACTTATGGATTTTTTGCATACCAATTTGTAAATCCTGATCATAAGATCTATACATGTGGGAAATGGTAAAAAGTGGTAATTACCATACGATTCGCAAGATCTAATTACCAAAACGATGTATTGGTCATGCGACCCCTTTGTAACTGAATAATTTAGGTATGTATTTGTAATTCAGAAGAAAAATCACTACTTTTATGGTCCTATTACCCCCATTCGTAACTAAATAATTAAGGTTATATGTTATACCCAAATTCTAACAACTATATGTATAAGAAGTACGACATCCTGATATCCATATGAATAAATATGATATTTGGAAGATTTTCATTAAAACACCAACTATCCTACTTTGAAGCTTACAAAATACGTCTTTTCAATATCCAAATACCGAGTGTGATATGTCTATTCATAAATATAACAATGAAAAATAAACAAATAAGCTTAAACAGAGATCATATAACAAAGTTATGAAGGTTCAAAGTTTGCTAAAATCTCATATATCTCACAAACTATCATACTTTGGAGCTAAAAAGTATGACTTTTCAACCTCCAATTTTGAAGTGTGACGTGTCCATAGAATGTCATTGTTACAAAGAACACAATGAAATAAAATATGCTTAAACGAAGTTCATATGAAATAGCTATGAAGGTTCAAAGTTGGGCAAAAAATATTATTTTTGCAGGTGGATACCTACGAAAATTTCATGTTTCGTAGGTGGTAGCCTACGAAAATCATGACTATTTTTGGACTATTTTTTTAGATTTTTGGTTGTTATTTGAAAAATGGTTTGTGGGATTAACCTAACTAGTCGTTTTTTCGAAACAAAATCATACTTTTAAGCATCCATAACAACATAAAAGAATCATAAAATTCATAATAAATAAAAGAATTTATATATAGATAATTAAGAAACATAAAGTAAATGTCTATACCTTTAAATAGGATGCAACGCCCTAAAAATTAGGGTTTCCTTCCTAGCTGCCAACACGCTGTGTTTAGGCACCTCAACACGCCGTGTTGGTTCATTTAATCTCGCGATTCTTCCATCCTAGACACGTTGTGTTTGCTCCTCCAACACGCCGTGTCTGACCCGAAAAGAGACTTATTCTCAAAATTTTCTTCTCAAGATTTCGGGCGTTACACCAACATGGCCCAAAATCGAGAACCCAAAAGTACGAAGCCCAGTCTGCTGAGTACACGGGGCGTACTCAGCTCTTACGCTTAGCGTACTCGTTTTAGGGCTTGTACGCGCAACGTACCTGCTTGTACGCCCAACATAGTCCACCATCTTGGCCAACTTCCAATATTCAGCTCTTAATCGATTAAGACTTCAACCCAAACTCAGATCTGACTTCCTTAAGGTGGCTTGTCCCGTAAAGTTGTCAACTTTACATGCATGCGGCTTAATGGGGCTTTAGAGCTCAAAAGAGCTTAATAAGTGACTTCACACATGCATGAGACCAAAACCACCATAAAGTTTGCACATTTATGCTTAAGAAACCCTTAATATGCCCAGATCTACAAGGATAAGCTCCATAAACGACCTTGGCTCACAAACACCAACCAAAAAGGACCAAAATAGTAAAAAAAAAAAAAAACAATCCAAGAAGTAGATCTATGAAATGAGTTTACAAGCTATAAGCTTTATACCTCACAAGCTATGAAATGGAGGTGCTAAAGCTGGATCTCTAAGCTCCTCTCCAAAGGATGAGTCATCAACCTTCTCCTTCCCCTTCAAGATGCACAAAATACACCACAAAAGTTTCACAAGAGCTCAAAAGCACCACACAAAGGCTAAGGTACGAATTTAGGGTTTTAGGATGTGGAGGCTGGTTTAGAAATGACTAAATGAGGCTATCACATGGCTTTTATAGGCTGCAAGCCCTAAAATTAGGGTTTCATACTTGCTCACGTACGCTAAGCGTACTCCACGTACGCCCAACGTACGTGGATGAGCTCTGCGACCACCATCGGCTAGTACGCCCAGTGTACAAGGAGTATTCCCAACGTACTCCAACTTTCCTGAAGTTGGCAATTTTGCCCCTAGGTGCCAATTCTGCAAAACATCAACACACCAAGGAGTCTAAACTGAAAGGTACATTAATCGAGTGTTACAGTTATGCCATCTTATGACAACCAATGACGATAAACAAACAAAGCCTCAATGTTGGCAACAACATACATGTTCGAAATGGACGGTTCTGAATTCTTAACTTCACCCTTCAAGTTTTTTACTTTGTAACATGTTGTCATGTTCAAAGTAACTATAAACAACCTCAAACATTTATTAGGTATAAATGTTATTGTGCAAGCTAATCCCTTCATAAGTACATTATCTTCAATTCTTAATATGCAAAACTTTGATGCATGAGGCCATTCCAACTACAAGGATCCATAAAAGTTACGAAGGGACACAATTAAAAAAAGCTTTAACAAAAGTTTCTCTAAATTAAGAGATTAACTTCTTGACAACACTAAAATACTATAATTTGTAAAATTTATATAAAAATATAAAAAATCGACATTATCCTTCTCCTATATA